TACGAGAAGATCTGACTTCTGGCTGCTCCAATGTCTACTGGAATCAGGGAGGTGTGCTAGAATTGGGATAAACCTCAGTGTCTCATTATTCCTGTTTATTACTATCAGACATCAGAGATATATTTTTATTAGTTATTCAAATGAGTTAAAATTTAATATGAATACATTAGCTTTTTTCCAAAGTGCTGACTTTTTTTGTTAACATAGCTATTTAGTGAAAATTCTTTATAATAAAGTGATATTCCAGAGCAGACTGATTTTAGAGACAGAAATAATGTGTGAATGCATTAATTGAATCCTAAAATGGTTATTTTCAATGAACATTGGACTGATATCCAAATGTAAAATTTATTAATATCTAATGCCTGCTGCAATTCCATTTTGTATAAATATGTATAATTTTTTGTACTTTTTCATGGGGTTTATATATTATACCTTCTTGCCATTAGTGGATGAAGAAACTTTCTGAAGGCTAAACTAGAGAATACAAGAAATGTAGGCGGATTATTACACCACATGGGTATGATAAATAATGAATGTTATCTACTAGGATTCACCAAACATATATCCAAGCTGATCAATGTAGCACACTTCCACTGAAGAGACGTGAAGTGTACATTCAACTGAAGTGTCATTGTAATTGTGTACCTTCTCAGTTATCGGATAAGTCAAAGAGCATGATGAATGTTTGTAGTATAATGGTGTAAAACCTTTTGATTTCTTGCATGAAAGACATGCGGGATCATGTACCACCTGCTTTGACATTGTTTCTCAGATGTATGAGTTGCTCCTCTGATTTTAGATCACATTTCTCCTCATCACTCGGCATATCCACATTGATACTGACACGGTTTTATTTTAGTTTTAGACATATGACATATCATACCATGTTTGAAACTGTAAGGGTATATTTTGTGAAGCCTGTGTTCCTTATTTTTTTTTCAGTGTATTTCTATCGTGTTCTGGTCCCTAGACACAAAGTAGAAAACATCAAAGCCTATACTAATACAGGCAGGAAGATACACCTTGATGCTAACACAGCATTATGTATGGATAACTTTATCATATTTACATATGAGTGATTGTGTATCCCTTTTGCTTTTCAGTGTCTTCTCAGAAAAAAAAAGCCTTGAAGGTGATTAAAATTTCGTTTATATTTTGAACTAGTAAACGTATAATCTATGAAACACACTTTATTTATTGATTATTTTGTTTCAAATTCCATTCAGGTGACAGGTGACAAGGAAGATTCTGTTTCGAATACAGCCACAGAAATAAAGGATGAACAACAATCTGAGACAGGTAATTTTGCAAAACACATTTAACGTCATGTTCAGTCAAGACAGAAAAGAACTTCTCTTCCCCAAATAAATCAGCGAGGGACTCGTTGATGCTGCACATTCTGATTCAGCAGGCCTGAGATTCTTCATTTGTAGTAAGTTCTCGGGTGATGCTGATGCTGCTG